CGGAGGTGACACAACGGCTGGAGGTTCGGAGTGTTTGCAGCAGCTGTGACTACAGCACTATAATTTGCTTAGTGGTTAACAGTTTATAGTGTTTGTAACAGTTTATCGTCGTTCTAAATGATGTTTGTTGCGTTATGACTTTTTACTCTGTTTCAGCTTCGTAGCTGTTTAATAAACTTTCTTAAACTTATTCGTAACATTTTAATCACACTATGAAAAGAGCATGTATTCATCGATCGAAACCGTATACACACTTTCCTTAACAATATAGAACCAGCATAGTGAACGATCAGGTCGCACGCTCCCTGTCGTAATATTGCATGCAGCCACTGCAGCGAAAAAGTGAACCAGTAAGCCGACAAATTTATTGCGTATGCATAACTGCTGGGGTAACCATTGCAAGCATAATGCGGCGTTCAGAATAATCCTGCAACAGTCAAACACTAACTGACTTTTGAAATTTATACCAACGTCATGTAAGAAATGTCTCGTAGCAAATGTTATGGATGCAGTGTCTGACTATATGTTGAACAGCATGAAAGAGAAAAGTAAAATGCTCTAATTTGCAGCAGTCAAACATTGGAGCATTTTGGCATGTGCCAAGAAACTCAAAAACCAGATTTAAAACACTACTTAAATAGATCTAAAACCGGATACTGCCCCAAGCCCCTTAATGACTGGACGATCTTTAAGATGACAACGACCTATGCCATTTGAATACCTGGAATTTATAGTACACCTTGCATTATGTTACATTCCACCATCAATTTTTGGAAGGACTATGTGCTTAAGGATATTCTCCCGTGCTATTAAAAGTGGTAAATTTTTTCTGATGAGAAGATACGCTTAACGGGCAAATGTTAATCATTGCACACTGTCTGTTTTAGAAAACTTATCTGGATTAAGAGAGTGTTTATTCATTTGCATGCAGGAAAGAACGTCGCAAAATGATGGGATCAAACGTCGATCTGTCGTTCCTCATCAAAATGCCATGACAAAATGATTCAACCAACTCGATTTCGCAGTTAAGCGTTCAAACGAACGGGTGTGGCACATTTGGTTCAACCATACCTTTCTCGCTTTGATGTCGCAGATTTTCATCGTTGAAGATTCGCTACCTATCACTGAACCTTGTTGATACGACCAGTAACCATTGTTTCCATTCGAGACAACATATCACTTAATTCTTTAACTGTTCAAAACACTTAGGCAGATGTAGCAAGGTCATGGACGCTTCAGGCTTCGTTCAGGAGAAATCAGACATAATAAATCAGGGTTGCTCTACTGCTTAAGTTCTGCTAACTTTAGATGACGATAACAAAACAAAATCTGTTTAGATTAGCGCAACGTTTACTACGAACACAGTTAGAAAACGCCTGCTGATGCTGTAGTAGCTGTTGCTCTGACGAATTTAAAAGAGTAACCTACGGTGATTATAGTGGTAGGCAAGCCCTAATGTAATTTCCAGTTTCCTGGAAGTTTTTTTGCCTGTCACCTGTAGTTCAATAATTCTTTCATAATTTCTAACTCTCACACGCACGGATCGTCATGTTCTACAAACATATTAGGAGCTACTGCTCGAAACGGCTAATCGTCTGATTAAGCTGTGCGTGAAAGTGCCAGCAATACTTCTCATTCTAGTGACTGTTCTTCAATAGAAGCTTCAGCAAGATCTTTGCACCAGTTTGCGAATATTGTTTACAAAAATTAGTTCTTACAAACACATTTTTGATGTATTCATATACTTCAGTTCGAATTTAGGAAGTACCTGACCACAATTTATCCTGGAGCCCATTTTGCATCCAGAGGTAGTGGACCACCTGTGGGCTTGATATGATTTTGTGTAAGTGATCTTGCCTTTTATTGGATGATGAGTTCTACTACGATGCCGAGATCATCGCCATCATTTGACAATTTTTTATTGCTTTTGCATTACTGCACAATTGCAAGAACATGGTGATGGATTTTGTAATGCGAGATGCGAGACCAGAGTTCAAATAGCCGATTCGTAACAGTTTAATTACATATCCACCTAAGGTATGCTAGATACCTGTTGATCTTGCGTTTTGTCCATTCCGCTTTGACTGTTTCCAAACTCCTTCTTTACTTTCAGATGGCTTACATGCAAAAGATGCTGGTTCTATCCTGTTGTATGGTCTCGTTCTGCAATATGCCATAACCAGTAACATCAGAGCCACTCTTTTCTGCCATTT